CCCTCGGACATGCACGATGACTGAGGCCTGACAACACCACAAGGGCCATGAACCATAAAGTCGCTAACTACCTCATAATAATCAGGATCAATCATCTTGTCTGGAATTTCTGCACATATAATCTTATCAATGTCATCTGTTGTCATAACCGAATCTTTGTTGCATATGAATAACAACACATGTGCGTGTGGTAGGCCACGTTTCTGAAACTCAATAGTGTAAATAGCTGCAAAAAAAATTATAAAAGTTTTTAAAGTACATGTAAATAATAAAAAGGGTAAACGACAATAAGTTGTATTGGTAAATACCTGCCCTAACAGTGCCAAATATTTTTTTTTTGCGAATATCTTTCATCAGCATATTTAACTTAACCTTAAAAATGCGTGAAACAATGTCAGGACGATCTTCAGGGGCTAAACCTTTGCTCTGCACATGCCTTAAAACTTCAGGCCATCGAGGGTTGCAGGTAAAAGTTATGAAAATATTAGGATAACCTGCCCATCTACATATAGCCATTGCATCTTGGTAATTTTGAATCATATATCGTGCACCACCAGTAAAAGATGAGGGTAGGATAATACGTTGTCCTTGCATTGCTGCATTATTTTCACCACGGAGCAAAGCATCATTAAGGCCATTATACAAGTCACAACGCAATTCTTTTTGATGGGTGCGAATGTAATTGAGCCTTGAGTACTCAACCATTGTGTATGCATCAACAACAAATTGTTGAAATAATCGCTTTGCATGTAAAATCACTGAGACTTCATGTTGTCTATCATGTATTCGATATGCAAAGAATTGTCTCATAGTAACGTATCTTTTATCATCCTCCCCCTCCTCATCATCATCCTCTTCAGCCATATCATATCTAGCCAATAAAATATCCTCCCTATATCCATCTTCGCCGTACGGAAAGAGCAAAGGATACTGCAAAGGCAAATATGATGCATGCAATTCACTAATTCGTTGTAGTTTTTTGCTTTTAGTTTGCACAATTATGTCACGATCACCCATCGCTTCATGAAAATCTCCAACTAATAAAGCAGCAACTTCTGTGACAGTTGGTAGTGAATATGTCCTTGCATCATTTTGCCTACGGCCTATAAGCTTTAGTCTAACATTTGAATGCGAAGCATGTGTGATATGCTCTCTAGCCATTCGAAAAGACTTCGCTAGAACGTTATGCTCATCCAATATCTTCTGCAAGTCTCTCACAATGTCATTATGAAAGTTGCGTGATCCTGTGCATCGAATACTAAAAATAAAGGGCATACGTTTTTTATTTCATAGTTAAAATAAAATAAAAAAAGATATGCACAAATAATAATATAATGACTTACCGATTCGATAGAATTCGATTATCCACCTCATTCAATGTGTCATAGATATACAATTGTGCAAATCTGGGCATTTTTCCTTCTGGAGGAAGCAACGTTCCAATTTTGTGATGATTTTGGCCATGTAATTTGAATACTGGCGGAGCCGTACCATCATTTAAACTATAATCAACATCTCCGCCCATTGAAGTAAAACAAAACATATTATTATATGCGCGTATATTTTGTCTAAAATGGCTGCTTTTTGTGTCATTACCAAAGTAAAGGTCAAGCAACTTTTGGGGTGGAGTTAGTAGTTTTGGCAAAACAACTTTACCTCGACCACAACAACCAGAATATGTGGGACTATATTTTTTCCGACTTGTAGAAAGGCGCTCCACAAACCAAAAGAGTGCACCACAATGTTCACATGCACATATTGCATCATCAATGTCCCAAAACTCTACAATGTTATTACCAATTAAGTATAATGTGGGAGAATAAATCATAGATAACAACACATACCTTTGTCATATGAAGACGTAGTTAAAAAATTACCATTGCATTGAACAAATGTTGTAGTTGGAATTTCTTGAGCATCTGTAGATTATAGCAAATTTAAAAACTAATTTTCGGAAAAAAATATACAAAAAGTAAGAAAGGCAATGGTCAGAATTTGTTTACTAACATTGATGTATATCTATGTTTTGTACGTTTTGGAACCCTTCATCTAAGATAATGGGAACATCAGATAGAACATGTGCATTATCACTCATAGCGTCATTGTGTGAAGATCAGAGATCTTCTAAGGATAATGTGTTCTCCTTACTTTCCCCTGCAGGTAATACATTATTTGAACTTCATTTTTTGTAAAAATATTTTCAATTTTCCAGTATAAGTTTGACATGTTTTCACAAGTGTATGTGACATACCATTTTGTAATGAAGTAGAACTTTGTGTCCTTAATGAGGGTTCAATCACTTGCTTCCGGCAATCAAATATTGGATCCACAACAATTTGCATGTCGACTACCAATGCAAAACAATTATTTCATTTTAAAATATCTACAGTTCTATCATTGTTATCATTATAGTAATAATAAATTGTATTATGATATGCTTTGAAAAGTGAGGGTACTTACAATAATTTATATCAGTTTTTGATGTGTCTGGAAATTCATCATCTAAATGTATTGGTGTATCTATGAATTCTGGAGTCAAGCAATTTGCCATGCAAAAAGGCTTTGAGAAGAGGTGCTCTGATGAACTTGTCTGACCTACGTACAGATTAAAAAAGATTTATGTCTCAACAATTACATGCGCATGTACATTAAAATGGTTGGATGAATTTTTTTTTTGTTTTTACCAATTTTAATCTGTTCAAAATATGTATATTAGAATGATAAAAAGAAAAAGCTGAGAAAGTTTTGTAATGGACTTAATTGTCACATAAATTGTGTATCTATCACGGGGTTTTTGGTTTAATCTATTTGCCAGCATTTGAAATACGTTTCCAAATGCTATTTGGATCATTAGACTTGGTTGGTCTCATATTTATGATACCTCTTCGTGTGCAGGTTGCAAAGATGAGGGATATAGGAAAACTGCTAGAGAAAAGAGTAGAGAAAAACATTGGGCTATCAGGTATGTTTGGCAGACATTTACCCATCTTCACACTATCAATTGACTAAGCATTAACTTCCTTTAAGAAATTGAGGTTTGGCGTAATTGCTACGTGTTTCTGTATTTCAATACTGATTTCTCTAGGGGCTCAAACAAAATAACTTGCAAAACCAGTTCTAACATGAGCAATGTAAATCATTTTTCTGAATCAAATGATTTTATTTACATATTAATGGTGGTGTTTATGATTAATTTGAAATAAATTCATTTAGAATGAAAGGGTAATTAAGTGTTACTAATAAATTCATTTAGAATGAAAGGGTAATTTGTTAGTTGTATGTTGGCATGAAGCCTTTTTTATTTAACATACACTTTATATGTTATAGGTGTTTATGGAGTTCTCGCAAAATTTGTTGATTGATCATGTATTCAAATTCAGGTGTGTCTTTCCACCTGGTACTTTGTGTGATGTGTTTTGCACTTTTAAAATAGTTTAAGGCATACAGTATAAATCAATTAAGGAGAAGTGGTGTTTGTTTACTTCTAAGCTGGTAGTGAACCTATATGAATCGCTACCTTTTTTTAAATGTAAAGTGCCTAATCAATTAAACACACTTATAATATTGACTTGA